GCACGCGAAGACCGCAGTACTCTTCTTCCTCGCGAGCTCATGGAGCCGCTGGATCGCGAACAGCATGTCGAGCGTCGACCGGTGTGGGCGGAAACCGCTCTGCTCCTCCGGGAGGATGCCCTCTCGCTCGCAGTAGTGGCTTAGGCGTGTTGCAACGACCTTAAGCAGCACCTTGCCGGCGTGTGCAACGAGAGAGATGCCCCGGTAGTTGCCGCACTCCATCGTGTCCCCCTTCTTGAACAGAACCTTGATGGTGGCGTCCTTCCACTGCTGCGGTACGTTCCCCGTCTGCCACACGTCCACGACGATGGCGTGGAATTCGCGGAGGAAGCCTCGGTCTCCATGTGTACTCGAGAAAAGAGAGGCCGGGAGCGTTTCGCACACAAAACGCCCACTTCCGTCTTACACACCGAAAATGAGAAACGGCCCCAAATAATAGCCCGAGGCGTGTTCGCCCAGCCCGCAAGCTGCAGACTGCTGCAAATGCAATGCAGACTAATCATTTCTGGCAGGCACAGGATCCTACTCTTCCTCATTCTCTCGCTGTACCTGGCACGTACAAAGAGGGAGCGCGAGAGGAGAGAGCGCGCGACGCCGGCTGGGTGCCATCTGGGAAAGGTAGGAGCATCACCGCCCGGACGACTGTCTCTCTCCGTCTGTCGTCTGTTACAGCGATTTTCTTCTGCGGGTTGCTCTCGATCTGTCTCCCCCACTGCATCCATGTACAGCGAAGAGTAGATGTGACTCGACATCAAGGAACGTCAACCTGCTGCAACCGAGAGTGCTCGACGTACATACAAGCGAGCGTTGGGCCAGCTCATCAGGCTCCTTGTGTGGACACAAACTTTTGAGGGCGGCATTTGCCCTGACCGTTTCCGTTTGGCGGTGCCGAGGTGTACTGCTGTATTGGTGTGGTAGCGGGTGCTGCAGACAGGGATGTATTTATGTATTGTAGAAGTACAAGATTAGTCCCGCCCGGGCTTCGTAGATAGGAGCGCGCAGTTGTTGGTGTTAATGTGCAGCCGGTCGTCTTCAATCTCAGCACTGTCATGGCTGATTGCCGTCGAATGGCGCGTGCGTACCCTCCCCGTCACCTCTTCGCTAGAGGCGCCGCTCAGCGTCTCGAGACCTTAGAAAGACAGAGGGACGAATCACCACAACAATGCGTCAACAAAGTCGGTGAATATTTAACCGCCTTTCCCAAAGCACCAGTCCACCAAGTCCACACCGCTGCGGCTCGAACGGATAGGTCTTTGCACTTCTCTAAATGTTTCGTCAAACAGAAGAAGTCTTCCGTTCGGGGTGGGCGCGTGTGTCATGCCAGCGTCCGGTGCTCAATACAGTTGGCGCCCGCAGTAAAGAAATATTTTGTTGAGAAATTGAAGCTCACTTTTTCACGAAAATAAGAAAAACGGGTCAAGAAACATAGCTCAATCTGGGTCACACAACAAGAAATGTCTCAATAAGAAAGGAAGGGAGCGGGAGGCGCAAAAGGGTGACAACCCCCAATGTTCGCCTCACGGAGCTTGCAACATAATGACGGGGTAGCTTTCGTTGTTGGTACTACAGCGTGCGGGTGAGGCATCATGCGGTGTTTCTGCATTTGTTTAGTGTCAGCCCTCACTCATGAGGGGGGTACAGGACGTTGTAGCGATAGCGAGACGTTGCCGCTGGATACATTTCGCTTCTAGGGAGTGGCCTTACGTGCAGCCGTCGGTAGTGAGAATCGGGGTTGAGTACGGGGTCGAGGAAAGCAGTACAAATCATTTGTATATTTGGAACGTTGTCTAGTATGCAAGCAGAGAAATAAGTAATTGCCGATTTAAGAAATTCAGCAGGATTTGGCTGCACGAAAAAACAAGAAACTTGAAGTAAGAAACTGAACGACATACGCTGAGATTATAGCCCACAATAAGAATTCGAGGCTGGACCTGAAATAAGCGTTTCTTAACTGCGGGCGCCAACTGTACGCAAGCCGCTTGTCCGTGAAAAATCCGTTCTTCAATCGTCTCTCTGTACCTTGTACCTAACACGAGACAGAGAGCCGGGTAATCACCCGTTTACTTCCCGCTTGGCTGTGCGCTCTTCATCAGAAGCACCAACCAAAGTTGGCAGCGGATCTCACCGACTTATGTGCGAACCGCAGCATCCACTGCAGTATCTGCGAACAGCAGTGGCTCCGTTCCACATGACCTAGACAATACACCAACGACGACGGCCCTGGCACACTACCCTTCCACCGCGCGCCAGTCTTGTCCATTCTTCCTCATTGCGGTGCCGTCTTGGCGCTACTGCTGCTGTTGTTGAGATTTGCCCACGGGTGTCTTTGGTCTCGAACGTGAGAGCATGGCTGCACTGCTGAACCGGGTTTTGGTCATCTTTCCGGCCTATCAGACATCAGAAGGGTCCGAAGGCGCCTCTTTGGCCATACATGGGATGGACATGTCGTAGGAAGACGCGTCCCACGACCCACTTGGAGAAGCACGACTCAGCAGTTGAGGAGAGTAGGACAAGATGGCAGAACATGTATTAAAGCGAGATGGATATGTAGACTATTTGGGCCGGACTGAAATGATGGAGGTGGCCGAAATACTTCAATCGCTAACCTCCCCGCCCCCCGGTTTCGTGCTGTGTACTTAGGTCGTCTTTTCGTGTTTTTTTTATCTTTTTATGTTGATCGGTGGAGTGATGGTAGAATCACCCACAATCATTTTTTTTGCAAAGGTTTTACTCGGTAAGCTCACCACGGTGAAAATACCGCCCTGGTGGGCGGTACCGGCACACCGCCGGTTTACTGCCGTTTCTTTGCTCTACTGTACGGGATGAGTACTACTTTAATCTTCAGTTTTTTCAACCACTAGCAAGCGAATTGCATCAGGTCACTTGTTGTCCGGCTGATTGTTGGTTCTGTTCCTTCCTCCGGTTCACGTTTTCCCTACAAATGCACTTGCTCGCTTGCTCGAATCCAGGCCCGACCCCACTCGATTCGACACCGCATACATCATTCCGACAATAAACGGACCAATCATCTCCGTTGAAATATTGTTCTCGAAAATACTGTGTACTACGCGTGTCTTTGGTGCAGCATCTTGACCAATGACACTTGCACCTGTCGATGACGTGAACAAGGTTCTTCCGTACACCTGGGTGCTCAAGGCCGACTTCGCCCTGAGGGGCATATCTTGTCGGCCTTTTCCTCTTGTCTTGAGATAGAGGTGAGACACAAACCAACGCTAATAATGCCGAACATGCCAGATAATTGACGGGGTGGGGTCGTCGCGCGTGTGCAGAATATCGAGCTGGGGTCCTGATGAACTGTGTAACCCCGTGCTAACGAAACCCGACTGACTGTCGAATGGAGCAAGATTGGTTCACCTTCGTCTCCTCCAGAGTTGGCACGAAGACTGTGAACTAGCAGCTTCCCCGAAAAATTGACTTGTCATTGTGTGTGTTGTTGTTTCATTTGATATTTCTTGTCAGCGTTCCCGCACAGCATTTCTGTCGGGTACGAGGTCCAATCCGTGGCCACACAGAAGAAGCGTTACTCCGCTATACTCACCCCTCCGGAGGATCTCCCCTTCGATCGTACGTGAGGAGAGTGCAGCACTCTCTTTCCTCGAAGTGTACCCGAAACAGCAGGGCGAATATCAAAAGAAGCGCAATGAATGGTAAGTGTCAAACAGGTCTGCCTTGTTGTATGGCACTGCAGCTAAAGCGGACCTTCTCGGAAATCCTCGTTGAGAACACATTGTGATGACGCTTCTAGACAGACACAGCACATCAACCAACAAAGGGGGTGGAGAATTAAGAACAAGGCCCTCGTACGGAGCACGAACTCGAGGGAGATTTCAGTGCTACTCCCGAGTCCTGTACGTGTTGTAGACGGTATTCAGGGCGTTCCAATAATAATCTTCATGTGCTCAAATGCATGTAAATGGCCGCCGTTGCCACTGTCACCGTGGCCGCCTTGTTCTTTGATGTGTCCACGATGATACTGCTTCGGCCGGATAGAGGACATCAGCAAAGCGAACGTGACAAAATGTTTGAAATGTTCGTGAATGTTCGTGATATGGGTCTTGCCCAGGTACAGTATGTAGGCCGATCGTTTGTTTGCTGACGAGCAGTCATGGTTGTACTCGTGTACAAACGTTGGAATATGCACCACATCGACTACGTCGAACTCCTCAACCAACGCGAAGCGCCTGTCACCGCGGGCAGAGGAAACCACAAGATGACAACGTCGGCGGAGTCGGCAATATCCATGCATGCTGTCACCGCCCCATCGCCAGGGAGGTGGTGAGCTTGTCCATGCGCTTCGCGTTGGTTGAGGAAATCGATGGAACCAATGTGAATATTTTGGCGGTGTTTGTACACAAGTACAGCGACGATTACCTATTCGACATGCGACCCATGTTCACACCAAAGAGCCCTCCCCAAGAATTTACGTTACCATATGCCACCACCGTCAACTGAAAGAAGGTCCGGTCTGCGTGTTTTCCAGCCCCAGGTCTTCGATCCCACCAAGGTGTCTGCCCCGGCAAGCACCAAGCCTCCGAGTGCTCCGCCGCCAATTCGTCGCCCACTCCATGGAGGGAAACCGGCGTTCGGTGGGTTGTCGCCCAATCCCATCATGACCACCACTTCATCGATGTTCGCAAACGTCGGCCGGCCCTCCCGTACGCCCGCGGATCGTGTCGTCGCCGAGTATGCGCAGGGTGGGCGGGGCGAGCCGCGCGAACGGGGCGGCAGCGGCGGGCCACGTCAGCATTGGGGCCGTCCGTGGGGCCGGCGGTGGTGGCGGCGACGGCGGTAGTGACAACCCCCACCGTGCCGTCGGTGCAAACCTTCAACGGGTTGGCGGCGGCGGTAACGCGGCGGCAGTAGTACCCGCCGCGGTGCCCTCGGGACAGCTCCTCAACGGAACGCGGGTGGCGGCAACGGCGGCGATGGAGCAGCCACCTTCCTGCCATCCCTGTTCCAGACAAAACAACGCGGCCGACAAGACATGGACGTCGATCCGTCCATGTCAGAGCGCATTGCCTTGGACCGACGTCTATGTCTTGTCCGCCGCGTTGTTGGGTCTGGAAGACGGATGGCAGAGAGGTGGATGCTCCGAAGAGCTGCCACGGAGGGGTGGTGGGGGGAATCACCTCCGTCACCCCCACCCTCTCCGCCCGCGATCCGTTGAGGGGCTGTCCCCAGGGCACCACGGCGAGCATTACTGCGGCCGCCGCTAAAGCCGCCGCCGACCCGAGAACTCGCCGAGGCGACACGGATATCGACTAGTCGAAGTCCGAGCGCATTTCTGTAGCCAAGGTGATGATGGCCAACGCCTTGGCATCGCTCGCCCGGGGTAGATGGAGCCTCGCTGGCCAGGCCATGACCAAGGCCGACGAAGAGTCCAGATTCCCCCATGGTGCCTTGGAGACCGTCAACTCCGTGGTCGGGATGACACCTTGCAGGACCCTTGCGCCTTCATCGGCCTTGGATATGGCGTGGCCAGCGAGGCTTGATTTAGGGCGAGCGACACCAAGGCGTCAGCCCTCGTCACCTTTGCTTTCGGAAATGCGCTCGGACTTGCGCGAATCGACGTCCCATGTCGTCTTGGTCCAGTTGATTGGTGTGAAACAGGAGGTGGCTGCTCCAAGAGCGGTTCCGGAAGGGGCAGTGGGGGGAATCACCGCCGTCACCCCCACCGCCGCCGCCCGCTATCCGTTGAGGAGCTGTCCCAATGGCATTTGTGCTGGGTATCACCGCGGCCGCCGCAACTGCAGCCGCCAACCCAAGATATTCGCCTCACACACCTTTCCCCCCCCTCCCTCCTGGTTCCATGATCTTGAGACACGCTCGCTTGTGGGACGGAGGGGAAGAAGTCATGTTGTATGTCCTGGGAATTCGTGGAGTCATGGTGTGGCATACTAAGCGGTGGTGCAGGTGGTGGTTCTCGTGGTGGTGGTGGCCGCCAATGGTGGTGGCACCGGTCGTGGCGGTGGGGATGTTGATCATTAAGAAAGCGAGGGCGATGTAGGTGTTCTTGGTTGTAGCGGCGAAACGTGCTGGCAGCTACGGGTTGTGCATGGGTGGGATGGTGGTGAACGTGACTCAACACGGCAGTCGACGGTGCTTGCCAGATGGATGGCTGGCGACAATGGACACTGCTGCAGGGGCGGTTCACCGACCAGGGCCATGGCCTGCTGGTGTAGTACCATTTGTCACCGGCCCCCAATCTGGCAAGCAGCGTCCACTGTAGTGTTGGTATTGATTCAGTGCCCACCTGCCCGTGAATCACGCATAAATGCCTGCCCCGCGAGTCGCTCTAGCGAGCTCGTTGTCCTTCCTGTAGTCCCTCTTCTTCGATCAAATTTGGATCGGATCGCGGACCGCGCTGCAGGGCAGCAGCTGTGATTGGCGGCGGTGGTAGGATTGGTTTAAGTAACGGCGGCGGTGGCGGTGGTGGTACGGTCGATAGACGGCCACGGTCATCACGGTCGACTTATTAGATTCCAAGCATATCCCGATGTGCTCCCACTTTGTACGGCAGTTACTGCGCGCGGCAGTGGTGGTCACGCTTGCGGGCGGGTGCAGCGGCACGCCCAGCCAACTTCGGAAGACTGGCAGACAGGAAAACCACCGTGCGCGGCCATCCGACAAGTCAACATGGAATACCCACAAACAAACCGCTTGTGTTTGTAGTGCACGCAGGTTTCACCTGTTGAGGCGCTCGGTACCGGTGGCACTTTGTCTTGCCACTTAATCAACATGTCTTTTTCTAAGAGCGCCGCAACTTGGTTCCACTCGGCGCACCACAGCACATTGTTTCGTTTCACTTGGATTTCGACTAACCATGGGTCAAGAAAGTCCGCAGTCAGGTGCCCGCGCAAGCGGTTCGCAAGAGACTGTCTCTCTGCTCATATTATTCGCTGTGCGTTCCCTTCTTCTAGACAGATCGGATATCATCCTGACTCTTGGCAGGCAGTCGCCAGCAACGCGCAAAGCTTGCCGTGCGCGGAAACAAGCCCGTCCGTGGCCATCTCGGATATTGGGTGAAGCCGCGGTTGACATCTTTCATTTCTAGCCCGCATCAAGTGATCTTGTCCTACGAAAAGTTGAATAATAATTGCAGTCTTCTCAGGTCAACCCACGTAGGAACAAAAAAACAACACTTCATCACGTCACAGGAACCATCATCTTCACCATGGTTACCATCCCCACGTGACGAACGTCCGACACCATAACCTTTGCGCCGACAAAAACCATGTGCCAGTATCTTGGAATCGCATCATTGCGTGCATGGTGGCCGAAGTCTCCGAAGCGCTTCGTATTTTTGTGTATTTCCGCTGTCGCTCGCAGTTCACACTCTGAAGCCCCCAGTGACGGTTTTCACTTTCCCTCTGCGCTAAAAACCTACAGCGCATCTGCTTTTAGTCCAATATATGCTTTGCCGCGGTGCCTTGGTTGTGCTCCTTGATATTTGGTCCACGGCGAAGTTATTTCGTATTCCTTTGGTCAGAGGTGATGGCGGACATTGCCCTCTCCTGTGCTCCTGCTTCTTGCTCTCGGCCGGTACCGCAATGGTGACCCTCGTCTCTTCTTGTTCTTTCAACGCTGCTGGTGTTTAGCTTCTCCTAGAAGAGGTGGCCCATGAAGTCTTGGTGACGCAGAAGACAGAATTCACGCCGAGCGCCGCCCTCTCAGGTCGTTGTCGGGCGAGCGCCACAGCTGAGTACGACATGCACACGCAAGATTGTAGTAGGACGCGAAATGTTGCTAACGTCAACAAGTTGATCGGTCGACAATGCATGAAAACCATCAACAAACGTTTCGTCCCCGCGAACGAGAGAGTGGGCTTTGTGTTTCTCGGTCAAATTTTGCAATTCATCCCGTTTGATTTCTGTTGCGTTCGCTACGTCGCAGCTGCGGCGTAGATCTGCCCTGTATGCAAGATAGACGGCCCTCACATTAGACAGGCGGAGAAGAATATACACCTCGGCTTCCCGAATTTCACAAGCATGGTCAGGCCTTGCTGCTAATACTACAAATGCCATGAGAATACTTCGGTTTGATCTACGCATGCACCTGTCCCACCCTGGCAGCCGGTAGTGGCGAGGTTGCGATGCCGGGCTTCCATGATGCCGTCTTGATAATAGCCCCGGTCGGGTTTTGCCTGGAGAACGATTGGGTTTGTGCCGCAATGACCGCCAGTGAGAAGCGCTTACAGCTTAGAAAGCATCCGCCGGCGCACGGAAGGTGTTTCCTGATAATAGCTCAATAGGAAGGCGTCCGTCGACAAAATCTGGGTCAAGCGGGTAGTCTATGTGGATGTGGTTTGGGTTTCGCCAGCAAACTCGTCTTCCCTCTCTCCAACTCGTTTATGAAGAACATTCAAGTGGCTGCATCAATCGAAACAACAGCCATCCAGAGCCACACACCTCCCCAGATATATCTCACGTATAAAAGTGTGCACCGAAGGAGACAACCATGCTTTGCATTCGGGGAGAGAGGATGCCGAGGAGGGGACACAACTGCCACCGCTTCCCGTCGAGCACCGCTGAATTAAGTCGGACGCTTCTTCCGTGCATGTCAAAGGGCCGTAAGGAGAAAATCGTGCATGTATGAAGGTACCATCTAAACTCCTTGCTGTGGCACGCCAAGGGACGCCATGATGGTCGGCACCTGCTGAGTGGGAAGGAACTTCCAGGCTGGGTATGGGCGAGTTTGCTATCGGTTCCGTTGAGTCCGTCAGACTTGAGCGGAGGTCGACTTACGCAATGTTTGCTTGCAGTAGAAGGGATAACATTGGTTGAGGCGCGCGAACGAACCACCGTTCATAATATTGAAGACGCCCACCGGCACAGGGGCACCACTACGGAAGCGCTAGGGGAAACAAATCAACAACAAGACACGCGACATGCTTTGTTCACCCCGTAGTTCCGACCCGCCCTCCCTACGAGTGCCAAGGGCACAGGGCGACCCTTATCAGACATCCGTGCTCACTCAAGTTCACCTGGAGTTTCGCTGCTGGCTGGGGGAGGGGGGGGTGGCATAGCTGGCACCGGCATCACTACTCACGGTGTCCGGAACGCTATGGCAGCGAAGAAGCATAGCGGCCACCGTTTGAGAAAGACGCGAAACCCTAAGCGACACGGAGCATGGGACAACACAGGCGGCGGGGGTTTTCGAGTGTCAACGTTAAAAATGGCGTGGCGTGCAATTCTCCCGGCGCACAACGATGGCGTGGAACGTTCTACTCACAAAACCAAATTGGCAATCAATTGACGCTACGTATATAGTGAGCGCACGTAGGGGAGCAAATCGGGAACGCCACAGAAGAAACAAACGTGCCCCCTTAGTCTGGACTGCACAACCGTTCCTATTCCCCTAGGGTACCTCGATGACTTCGTTGCGGAACAGGGTTCGAATGAGAAACATCAAGCACCGATAGCAGCAATGGCGACAATAATCACCAGGGTTATCGGTTGTTTCTTACCGTAGAAGTCACGATCATCAACTCTCTGAGCGATTCATGGCGCATTGGCCAGCCTTCTTGTACGCCTAACTGGTGCCGGGCGAAGCGTCCCTCAGGCCACACGTTGGCAACTTCGGGTCCCCCGGGTGCAAAAGATGCGACGTCACCTTAGGGTTAGGGTTAGGGAGCAACGGCAACAGAGGACCAGAATGGTCGGTATTCCGGGACACAGCCCAAACGCTGGATCATGATTGGATGAGACACTAGTGACGTATTGCGAAAATGGCGCAAAACGCGCCGAAGACCGCGGCACAGACGCCGTCGACAGCCTTTGATGCGTGAAAGGGTTAACTTCGAACACGGTACGGTGATCAGGCCTGGGCGTTTCACCCGAAACCGCTAAACGATAACTATGTTCTGGCTGTGGAGCGTTTGATCGTAAAAGTTGGCGAACCTTCTGTAAAGCCAGGCCCAACAACGTTAGGCCAAGCCAATGAGACGGGCGACAAGCATCCGGATGACCTACACGAAGGCCGATTCCCCAAATGCAGTCATAAGGACTGGCTTCTGCTTAAAGTTTGTCTCCGGATCCAAGGAGGTGTAGTCTCAGCTCTGGATTCTGGGAAAGTTTTGCGTAAGAGCCGGTCAGCACGATATTTTCGCGCTCCTTCTCCCAGAGAGTTTGGTCGAAACCCTGGACCGCACGACCATACTTCTTGTGTAGATCGGGGTCGGAATCTCCCATGATGTTCTGTAAACGTTCGCGGTCGCCGAAAAGACGAGCTTTCTCTGCAGCAAAAAATTGCTCTGCACACACATACGAAGTACCATCAACCACAGAAGTAGATGGGGTCCATTGGCAGAAGGGAGAATTGGAGTACTCCTGAGTAGCATCGAAATCAGCGTCTTCCGAGGACGGACAACGACTAGAAGTACGAGCAGGATGTGTGTCAATTGCTAAATGAACTGAAGTGGGAGACGCCTGGGCAGCATTATGGTCAACATTTTCCGCAGATGGGCCGGTGCCAGGGGTACGGGCAAAGGGGTTTACTTCCATTGCTAAATCGCCTAAATCAGGGGGTGAGTCCATCGGAGAATTCTCCACTGCCGAATTCGCCGAGATAAACGGGGGAGCCAGGCTTCTTATAGGGCTGTCCGTTTCTAGATCTTCTACCATATAGATCGCTTTCGCTAGGAGCGGCCACCATTGCTTTGTCAATACAACTTTGGACGGTGCAAGGTGCTCCTGGCCGGTCCTCCGTGACAAGGATCGCGAGCATACCGTGGATACGGCGGGCGTCTCTGAAGCGTCCTCTAGAGAGGGTGTTGTCAACACTCTCAACGTCGATCGTGGGATGTTCCTCTGTTGTACCCCTGCACGATCGTTTGCGGTGGAAAATGGTGGGGTATGCCTAGCCCCACGAGGCGAGATTCGTCGGTCGGAGCAAGACGAAACCGCTAGCGGTGCGGCGGCGGCTGGCGGACCAACGGCGGCAGCGAGCGCATACGAATCTCAAGTATCAGAAGACACATCATAATTGACCACTTCTGACGAGTCCTCATCAATCGTATAAAGCGCGTTGCTCTTGCCGGTCTTACCTGCAGACGCCGGGGGGAGCTGCCGAACTACACTCGGTGGCCCCGTGGGTTTGGTTGCTCTGTTCCCACACCTCAACACGGCACTCGCATCGGGGGAGTCATTATCCGAAGGAGCGGACATACAAAAGAGACGAAGTAGCAGAGGTCGCAGATGAAATGTCGGAGGGCAAAGGGGGAA